AAGTAAAAATAGTCAGTTTCCCTATTTATCATTAGGAAATGTTTGCTACATATTGTGACTATTTTGTATATAACCATTAAGAAAAGGACGTTTTTGTATTCACAAAAAGCAAAATACTTTTTATGGTTCAGACATCAATCCTCTGTAGTGTATAGTTTGATCAAATAATTCCTTCATTTTTCATTTATAGAAGAAAAGAAAGAAAAATACTGCAAAAGTTAATCACAATCAGGTTTAATACCTACACCAGGATTCCATTGCACACATTTCCTTCATCTGGACTTTTGACTAAACAGCAATTGATTGTATTCTTTACTGTATATACTGTACTTCAGTAATTGTGTGTATAATTGTGTGTAATCAAGTATATTCTAGTCAAGATATGCTATGGAACGTACCAGCTTAATATTCCTTTTTTTAAAAAGGAATATTGAAAATTTTGTTGACCTCAATAATTTGACTTCCAAGAGATATCTGTTATTTCTATCAGTACAAGCAACAGGTTTGACACTGACACTATAAGAAAGTGTCCAAATGAATTTATATGAAAAGATAAAGAAACTGATGAATAAAATGTGAGAGGTTTACTCACAGATTGGTGCTTCTGTAAGAAAGAAAATAATGTAATTTTTTTGTATTACATAAAATTGCTTTTAAAAGCCTTGCAGAATCTGTCTTTGAAGGCAAGTTGAATAGTTTTGATAATGGATTTTTTAATTCAAATTTGATCTTTTTAAATACAGACATTGGAAGAGGTTGTCCAGAGTTTTGGATTCACCATTCCTGGAAGTGTTCAAGGCCATGCTGGACAGGGCCTTGAGCAACCTGGTCTAGTGGAAGGTGACCCTACCCATGGAATAGGGTCTGGAAGTAGATGATCTTATGATCTTTTCCAACCCTAGCCATTCTGAGATTCTATGATTTGTCTAACCTCTGCTAATATCTTAGATTTGTCTTTTGGCAAGTTTTTTTCAATATTAGCCCATCCAGTGTTTATTTATCATAGAATCACAGGATCACAAAATGGCTGGAGTTAGAAGGCACCCCTGGATGTCATTCTGTAAACCCTCTTTTCAAGCAGGGTCTTATAGAGCTCCTTGCCCAAGACCATGTCTAGACAGCTTTTGAATATCTCCAAGGACTGAGACTCCACAAACTCTCTAGGCAAAGTGTTTCCTGATGTTCAGACAGAACCTCCTGTGTTTCAGTGTGTGCCCATTGCCTCTTTTTCTGTCACTGAATACCACTGAAAAGAGCCTGGCTCCACCTTCTTTGCATCCTCCATTTCAGTATTTACACACTTTGGTAGGATCACCTCTGACCCTTCTCCTTGCTGAACACTCCCAGCTCTCTCAGCCTTTCATCATATGAGAGAGGCTTCAGTCCCTTAATCAGCTTTATGATCCTTTTCTGGACTGTCTCCAGTAGCTCTGTATCACTTTTGTACTGGGAGCTCAGAACTGGGCACAGCACTACCAGTGCTGAGTAGAGGGGAAGGATCACCTCCCTCAACCTTTTGGCAGCACTCCTAATGCAGTCAAGGATACTGGTGACCTTATTTGCCCCAGGGATGCATTACTGGCTCATGTTCAACTCGGTGTCTATCAGAATTCCAAAGGGCTTTTTTGCAAAGTTGTTTTCTAGCTGGGTGGACCCAACATATATTGGTATATGGGGTTGTTCCTCCCCAGATGAAGGTATTTGCACTTCTCCTTGTTGAACTACATAAGGTTCCTGTGACCCCATTACTCCAACCTGTCAAGGCCCCTCTGGATGGCAGGAAGACCCTGGACTCCTCCCAGTTTTGTTATCAGCAAACTTGCTGAGGGTACACTCTGCCTTATCACCTAAATCATTAATGAAGATGTTAAACAGGATTCGACCCAATACTGACCCCTTGGGTACACTACTGATAAGTGACCTCCAACTAGACTTGCTGTTGATCCCCACCATCATGGACCTGGTTGTTCAGATAGTTTCCAGTCCACTCCACTGTCTGCTCATCCACAGCATTTTTTTTACTGATTAAGGAAATTACAGATTAGTGCCATTTTCTTCTCTATCTACTTTAAAGTTTCTCATTCTGCTTGTTTGACAGTAAATCTAAATAACCTGGCATGGATTTTTTTTTTTTTTTTTCACCTTGTAAGAAGTTTCAAACATAATTCCGTGCTTCACAGAAGATTTACAGAAAAGGTTACAGTAACAACATTACAGGAGTCTATTATTTGTGGAATCAGTTGCAATATATCAACAAAGAAGATTTCTGGATAACCTTTATTTTATCGGCTTTGGTTAGTTTTTAAAAAAGACGTCTAATGCTTCAGGAAAGAGCCACAGAAATTCTTTTGGATGCAAGATCTTCAATTTATATAACCTTTACACGTTTTCACATTTCTTGTGAAAATTGTGTTTTTTCTGTTTTTATGTGCTTCCTCCATTAAGGAAATCCCATAAAAAAAATCCATGTACTGCATGGCCTATTGTGTCCCATTTTTCTGTCTCATTACAGGTGATTAATCTTATTTTTAGCGGAAAAAATTTCCTGTCTAGGGAGGTTTTCCTAATGGGAACATGATTTTCATTAAGGCTATTTGTCTGTTGGAAGATCTAGCTAGTCTTTGTTTAGATATCATTAAAAGGGTTCTGACTCAGACAGACTAATAATAACAATTTGATTGAATTTTATACAGAAGAGCTGCTAAAATATAACCTGTTTAATGGCAGATCACTTAAAAAACCCCAATGTTTGCTGGTTAAATACGCTTAAAAATAGTTGAATTTTCAGCATCTCTGATAATACTTTATTTACAGGTTCTTGTTTTATTATAATAATATTGGTATACAATTAATGTTTAATGAAGTGTATCACCTCAGATGTTGTAGATTTTATTTCACTATCACTCTTGGGATGTTGAAAGGTTGCAAAAAGATTATTTTTTTTTAAATCTGAGCAAGATCTGCCATATTTCTAGAATTCTTATAGACTGTGCACTTTAATGTTCATTGTTATCAATGTTACTCTATTGTTAACAAATGAGAACTTACTTTCAAAATTATTTCATTGGTCAAATTTCATGGTCTAGATTACATTTCAGCCTGGATTCTTGCTGCTTAGATTCCTTTATATCAAAACTTCTCTGTATGGGAGAAATCCTGTCAGGACCTTTTCTTCTTTCCTCCTCTGTACTTTGCTAGTGTTGGAGTGCTTTCAGTAAATCGAAGTGATGCTTGCAAACTTAGCAAAATGAAGTGTAATCGTTTGGATGGTAATTTGAACCAATAGTCAAAGTAGGCTTCCTTTTGTTATATTGCTTTCAGCACTAGGTATCAACACCCGAGGACGTTAACTCAAATATTTTAGTACCTGTAGTGTTGTTGGTCAGCATATCTATCTACTGTTCCATAAAACTGTTTAGCAATTAATGCTAACTACCTACTCAGTTATATTTGCAACCCCTTAAATTCATGAGTATTTACTCATGATGTATATTGTGCAACTGAAAAAGATAACTGAAAAAAAACAACAGCAGCCTGGCTATAGAAGAATAGTTTAAAAAAGTGATCTTACAACTCCAGTTTTTGAAGTCAAGATATTCTGACTGTTCAGGTTAAAACAACTGATCTTGCTTATAGAATGCTAGACTTTTTTTTGGACATTATTTTATTATGATTCTTACTGTCCTGACTTGACTAAGGCTAGAGGAATAGCAGTTTTGGTGGTGGGATGATTGAGGGATTTTTTTAAACTTTATGTATTTCCTGCTTCCAAACTTTCTCTTCATTGTTTTATTTATAGATTTTTCTGCACTGACCCAATTCTGAAACAATAAGATCAGTTCCATGAGTAGACTCATGGCTCAGACTGTACCCTGGCTTTCCTCATGTGCAATTCTTTTGAGGCCTGGGCACTACGTATGTGGCTCAGGAGAAGCTTAATGCTGAGTGTTTGTATGAAAGTGTTAATCGCTGATTTCAGATGGCCAGATCCTATCAACTTTCCAGGAAAAAAAAAAAAAAAAAAGAGGCCAATGGATTTTTTGTTTGTTTGTTTGTTTATTTGGTTTGGGGATTTTTTTCATTATTTTTTATTTTTGGTTGGTTGATTTATTTTCTCCTGTGCAGAATATTCATTGTAGGTACAAAAAAAGTGTAAATGGTTAAAATCTCCTAGACAAGACTAGTCTACTCTGAAGAATTCTCTTGAAATACTTTAGCCTCTTTTACATTTCTGGTTTCAGAAAGTATCTTCAAACTGGGACAAATTTTGTGAAATGATGATTTTTCAATGGATAGTTGTCTATTGAAGCATAGGCCTAAGACAAAACTCATTTCATCTATGTGTTATAGCTGGCTATAAAAGCATGATACAAAGAAAGCATCTTAGACAGTAAATATAATAATATTTATCTGATTGAAAATATCACATGTATTAGACTTACCACTTTGTCAGCACAATGAATTCCATGGCAAACCCTTATGGTATGTATTCCAGGATGACCAAATAGATGCTTCTGACAGAGCCTCCTCTTTGACAGTAGGGATGGCAGAGTATTCATAAACACAGAATGGAGTTTAGATTTCTCTAGCTAAGCTGAGTGTCATGCTACAAAATGCAAAATAGGCAAAAGGATTCTGAACGGATCTGTCAATATATCTTCTTTCATTAGTCTGATGTATTAAAATATCATGTGGTTAGCTGTGTGATGTTCTTGCTTTCTAGTGTGGGCAGAAATATTTTTGAACACTTCAGAGAGAGAGAGAGAGAGACAGACAAAATCGAGATTTCATAACAGAAAAAAATCCCACAACAATCTTGATCTGATAGTATCATTAATTTCTGCATTAATAATTAATCTGTTGACGTAGTTCTGAAACATTTCTTATTTCTAAGAAATATATTAATAATCATATTATGAAGTGCATTGTCGAATTTTACAACATAGACATTATAACCAAGATATTGAACAAAATTAATTTTCTCTTTCTCAATTTTTAAGATCCAGATTTTAAGGACCTTGGTGTTTTGAAACCATTGCCAGGTTGGTATGTTGTTTTGTGTTCTTTTTTTAACTTGGAAGCCTTTGCACTCTGCTGTAGAAAATATTTTTGTTCGCTGTTCAGGTTTCATTTTTTCTGGTATTTTGTTATTCAGTTTGTGAGTTTGAGATGGGAGGACCTGAAGGAATTGTGGAATCTGTACAAATTGTCAAAGAAGGAAAAGCTTCTGAAACTGAAGCAGTAGACTGTAAATGGTTCATCCGAGCACCACCCCGATCCAAGGTCAGTTCTTTGCCCACTTGCTGATTTGCCGTTTAATTTAAGAAATTGACTTTTCTAATATGTTGTGCATTTCTTAGTACAGTCAGATCTTGTTTAATAACTTTACTGCTTGAACCTGTAAACTTTTTTTTTCCTTTTGCTGTTCAAGGGTAATTTGTCACTTCAGCCAAAATAACCTTCTTTATAAATAATGAAGCGGGCAGTGTTATTGGACTTTTTGTTCCATAAGTAATTTTCTTCAATTAATCTTTACTTTTTCTCATATTTTAAAAGAATCAATGTGTTTTCTTAAGTGAGAGGTAATCGGAGGTAATCTTATCACTTTAATTTTCAAAGTATTTTAAATAACTTATATAGAAACTACTAAGTGAACACTGCTGGCTACCTAAGATTATAATTTCTCATCTGCAAACTGTGAAAATGAAGCCAAAGTAGATTCACGTTCCTCTGTATGAGAACTTTAGTTCTTCTGATTTAGAACCGCAGACAAAAGAAGATAGTATCCTCATTTCTCTTCCACCACAGTCATCAGGTTTTGCCTTTGTAACAAACAAGAGAGGGCTGCAATGAATTTAGTAATTATTTTCTTGGATTCTGAATTCCTCTCTCATCCATGGTTTATCAGTCGTTATATGGATTAATTGTTGCTGGCTACGCTACCATTTCTCTTCTCTTTGCAACTGGAAGAGCTTTGTGCCTCTCACTTATTTTCATTCACAACGTTAAAGAGAACTCCACATTGTATTTTTCTCTTGCCGTGTTTTTTTGGACAAGAAAGGTTTTACAAGGTAGAATTTACATATCTACTGATCTCTGCTATCTTTAAACAAATAAGGGTTTTTTCAGTATAATCTCAGAGTGGATTGTACTGAACATGTCTGTTTCAGCATTTGGTATTGAATAAACAGGAGGAAAGGTTTCCAGAAGATAAAAAGTTATGCATATCAGCATTTTTCTGTTGTGAAAGTTTAAGAGTTGAGTAGTTGTCTCATAAAGAATACAGATAAATAATTTCCAGAACGTACTTTAATATATTTTATTATATTTTTTACATTTGGATAAATTCAATATTCATAGAAGTTTTTAATTGAGTAGATGAGGTTCCCACTTTGCCACAGTAAGTAGCTACAGTCTAATGACTGGCCTGTTTAATTGTTATTGCATATGTTATATATTTAGCTATTAGTAGAAAGAAAACACATAAACACAAAAATTAGAATTGTGTTTATTAGAACTAGCACAAGTAAATAAGATAATAAAATTTTCCTACAGTCTTAATCCCAGTTTATGTTTGGTTGGTCAGATAATGTCTTTGTGATATTCTTATTTGATCTAACACTAAAGTTCTGTATGATTTAGAGCCTTTCTAGAAATCCCATATTTACATATCTGTAAGATTTATCAACACTTCAGTCCTGATGCAAAAATACAAATTGCGTAGCTACATAACCATAAACAGTTTGTGACAGAAGAATGCCATCCTACCACTGTTAATAGAGGATTAAAGATTGTTTAGTTTTTCATTAACTTATATACCTTTATTTAGTTGAGTTGCACTTCAAAAAGTATATACCAGTAGAAGAGCAACTGGAAGGGAGAGAGAGGAGAGAGAGCATTCTAGAAAACCTGAGGAAACACTGAAAGTTATTTAAGGTCATCTAGAAGCAACAAGGAAGGAATGCTCTGATGTCCACATCTGTATGATAAGTCATGGTTCCGCACTGTGAAAGATTCAGGTTAGATACTAGGGAAGAAAATTTCAAACAGCAGGGAGAGGATTATAAATGACTGGTTAAGGAATTTTGTTCAGCCAGCATTGCTAGTGGTCTTAAAGTGCAGATTAGGTGACAGTCTATGAAAAATGAGAGAAACATTACTAATCCTGCCTTTAGGGAGAAGCTTGGGCTGGGTCATCTCTTGATGAATCTTGCTGCTCTTGTCTTACAGAATTCTCTGGGTAGAGAGATAGGGCATTATAAAACCACACAAATCAGTGTTTCCAAGCATTTGGAGTTGAAAACTTTTTTAGCAAGCTAGGAAAAAAACCCAACAGTTTTCAAGCCTAGATTCCTATCGCAGGGGTAAATCCAATTTAGCACTTGAACTTTCTTGGTGTGATTTTCACATATATATATATATATATATACACACACATAGATATCTATACACACATGCACACACACATATGGTTATGATATCACCATACTGGGACAGGTTGAATAAGTTTTAGACATTAAGGAATAAAATAGTGAATAAAATTAAAAAAAACCAAACTTGTGTGCAGTAAGATTTGTTAGTGAGTTTGTTCAACTGAACTGGATTGTACTGTCCACATTTTACAGTCAGCTTCCTTTGTGCTTATCTGACCTTGAACTAATGACATATTCAGCACAGTAATTGTGTGACATCATTCTAATTTATGGCAGCTTGTGCCTATGAAAACAGGCTTTCCAGCTAAGAATAGTAATAACCCAGGAAAGGTCTTTAAATCCACATGTTCCTGTACTCTGGGCAGTACAGTCTGTTACTGGGAATTATGCCTAAAAGGCCAGTTTCTCAGATATAGTTTGGGTTGGATCTTTGCATCTTTAGTTTCTTAATTAAACTGTGCCAGAATGTGGGCTGCTTGCAATTTCATTTGGCTTAAGCTCATCCAATCTAAACTGTCTGCAGAAGTAAGTTCTTTCCTTGGTTTCCAACTCCAGAATCAAGCCAAGTCTGAGCAAGATGTATGAGCAATGAGATCAGTCATGGAGTATGAACTTGAGATCTCTGAGCCTGAGCTTCAAACTGACAGTCTGAGTGCAACATTGTTGCTATCCTCAGCAAGCTGGAATGGGTCAGAAAACAGCAAATTTCTTGCACACACTTAAAATAGAGTCACCACTGATTACCTTATAGCACAAAAAATAAAATGCTGAAAGTGCATGCAGAACTGAAACTTTCTGGAAGTGCAGAAGACAGCAGAAAGCGTTTTAGACATGACTTCAATCTATACACAGACCTGGAGGCTTATATTTGACAATGACTGGTTGCAAAGAGTGTGTTTCTTGTGATCATTTGAAGTCAGTTCATGCTGAGGAAGACAGCTGTGAATCTGGATTTCAGAAATACTGGGGGTTCTGTACTTTGTGTAGAAGCTGACTTCTATCAGTAGTTAGAGCCAAAATTGAAAATGAAGGAGAGAGCTGCTGACCAACTGTGCCAACCCACCCAGAACAGTAAAGAGCTGGAGGAACTGCCTCATCTCAAAATCCTTCTCTGTAGAACAAAGCCCAGAGGAGGAAGTGGATAAGCTTATTGTACTAGGTTTTGAAAAACTTCAGTGATATCTTTGGCTGCAGCAATGGATAAGTAAAAAATCTCTATTTATGAATAGAAAATAAGAAAATGAATAGAATGATAATTTATTTCTCATTTTCTGTTAAGGGTGAAATGTTGGAGATTAATGTCAATGGCAGCTGTTTTTCTATATTGGATGCGTCAGCAGCTTGACAAGCATCTCCCCAGAAGACAGAACTCATGTTTGTGCTCAGGTAGCACTCTCTTTGGTGGTTAACTTTCCCAGCAAGGTACCATTGTGTCGTGCTTGTTCCTTGAGAGATTATGTAGGAAACAAAATGTCAGCACAATTTGACAGTAATAGTAATAGAACACTCACAAAGATGAAGTTCTGATGCTGGGAAAAAACAATAAGCAGTACTTATAATCAGAGCCTCTGGGCAGCTTGGGAAAGGGCATCCTAACTACAGATAGACAATCCTTAGTTTGAATTCGGTCCAGTTGAAGTCATTTATTCAGAAAGAATGACCTCTGTATGTACACCATGAGAAATAAAATTAAGTTGGAAGCTAGTTAGAAAAAGTGATGCCCAATTCTCCTGCCCCACCTAAGTGTGTTATTGGGCAAAGAAGATATTTTTACAGATTATAGGATGCAAAGCTTAACAAAAAGCTCAGGAAACTGAAAGGATTAATTAATGAGCATCTAGTTTTGACAAATTATTGCAGTCTCCTTAAGCCCGCACTATCTGTAAGTGGTGACATTTGTTTCAAGCAGGGGTGTTAGGGAGCAGTGGAAGGGGGAAGCACAGCACAGGGGAGGGGGCAATGGTGAGGGTGGCCACAGGACCAAAACATGACCAACAGGGAAAGCCAGGTAGGCCCAGCCATGGCAGCTGAGGTGTGATGATGGCTGGGTTTGCACATGGCAATGGGGCCAGCCCCAGCTCAAGTCAGGCAGCAACTTAGCAGTGCACAAGACTGGGATAGTGAGAAATGAGGCCAAGTGTGGGTCTAAAGTGGGTCTCAAGTGGGACTAAGACACTTGCATATTTACAAGGGGTAGGTATTACTACCTGGTAAAAGCTCTAAATCCCCTGTTACTGTTTTCACAGTGGACCTTGTAACCATATGCTTGGCAAAATAGGTGTTGCTTTTGGTTCCGGGTGCCTGATTTAGGATTGAATATAGTCTGGAGAGACTGGGTTGTTGCACATGCATTTCCTAGGCAGTTAAGAGGAAACATGCAGTGAAGCAACTTATGAAGCTACAGGTCTATATAAACCAATCTGACTAAACCAAGACATTTTCTATTCTCAAATGTGAAGTGGAAACTTGTGCTCTTGGATGAGACCTGAAAGAAAAACAGTTTAAGCTTCCAGCACTGGCAGACTACCATATTGCTGATTTTTGGAGGCTTCCTAATCAGGTATAGAAGAAAAGCTTTAACTAGTACACTAACATTTAATAAAGTCATTTGAGTGGTGATTCCTGAAATATTGCAGAAAAATGGAATATAGAGAATGAAAACCCTGATATTCATAGACATTTTTACAGGCTTCAAATGAGCTCAGTCTCTGAAGAAGCTCTGAAGCTGGCTAACATACAGATAAGCAAATGATATTATGAGTGAAAAAAACCCAATACATTTATATTGCATCTGTGGAACAAGCTGAACAAATGATGTTTAAAGAAGTAGAAAATACTGTTTACCTGTGT